GCGTTGGCGACTGCACGATTATCATCTGCTCGCGATTTAACTGATTTTCGAATTTTTATTGGCCGGCGCAGCATCTCTACGTACAGATGCACGCTCCATTATCAACTATGCAGATGCTATGCAGATGCTATACTGCATTATACCCCTGGACCACCCGCACTAGGCGTCGGCTTTATTGATGTCAAAGGAACCTGCTCGCTGTTCAGCGCAGCGCGTGCAATGCCCAGCAGGAATTTGACACTATCGCTGCCTTTTCAAACGCTCATCATGTTATCGGGCTGGAGAGATCTGGAGAAGGCAGATTCTCGGCTTTTTTAAAGCAGCGTATTAGTATGGCAATTATTAACGGCAATGCAGCAGCAGTTTTAGGAACTTTACCGGGAAAGAATAAAACTGTTGATAGTAGTGATTCTGGTTGTCTTTTTTTAATTCTTGATTGTGCAATGCCGGTAGTAGTGATATGACTAATTATGAGTGAGAGTAATTATGAGTAATTATATTCAGATAGTTTTAAAATAAAACGAAAACTAGCAGCCGAGGCACAAACGAAAGAAACTTTAATGGCGAAAGGTCAACATTTGAAAAACCGGGCACCAGATATTGGCCTGATCGACCTCAACTCATAAAAAAATGCAAACTGCTAACGTAATATTATATAATGCCGGCTTGATGCCCGCTTGATGACTAGTCACCAAACTGAATGCATAAACAGGTAAATCTCAACAGACACAAACGCAAGTTGACTGCAGAGGCGATCTATTGTCTTATACTGAAGGCGATCTATTGTCTTATATTCCTATAAAACTAACTCTTTTCAAACAAATTCCTAACTGCTAGTGAAGTACTGCTACCTCAAAATATACAGTCATAACTGCTAACTATGAAATCATAACTACTTCCTCCTTGAATACACTGCAACATCTGAATTTTAAACTAGTCTATTTGCCCAGTCGTAATCCAATATTCATCCGTGCTCAGCTTGTTATATGAATACTATACATCTCTTGCAGGTTTTCTGCCTCTTCTCTTTGTTCGCTATGATCTCAGCTCCCACTCATCCAATTTTCTCGCTTTAAAATGTTCTGGGAACCGCTCGGCCTGGCGGGTGATCTAAGATTAATCGTTGTTTGCTATATGCAGAAGCTCAAGCCCAGTGGTCACTTGAAAGCTTGTTACCATGGATGCCATAGGGCTAACATGGGCTAGTCTGTTACCACGGTCATTACACTCTATGCTCAATTAGCTCAAACATGAAACAGCTTTGGATTCGCCTCTGCGTTTTCTTATACTTGTAGTACAGATACTTCGCTTGATCACTGTCGCACCTTGCGGCACAGTGCACTGAGCTGTATCAACAGTTTGCTCAATCTATCACATACAGCAGCCCAGTTCACTAAACAGTATTACTACGACGTAATTCTACGACTTCTAGTAACAAAAAATCTTTACTCACGTATTTACAGTACCTAGTCGTAAGCCAATATTCATCCGTGCTCAGCTTGTTATCTACATCCGTAACCACGTATACACGATTGATAATGTAACCAATGTTTTGGCGAACGGCTGAACCGATTTCGACGCGGCCAAGTGCGTTAAATTCGTCTCAACGGCGCGAATGTTCTTACGCTATTGCGCCACCGATACGCCCCAAGAGGGAAGGAGTAGCCCCAAAAAACAAATTGTTGCCATGGGCCCCATAGACATACATGGTAAACGCATTGTCTGTTTGCGGACCGTTCGGAAAAACCGAGACAGACCGCGGCCTTCGGCATCGGCACGTTACAAGGGATTGAAAATTTAAGAAACATGTGCGAAAATTAATCGCAGTCAATCCCACCAGCGTGATCGGTATACCTCGTATTCTTTCATATACGATATTTTTTAGGTTTCTTAGGTTTCTTAGCTTTTCTTAGGTATTCTCAGGTTTCTTAGGTATTCTTAGGTGTTCTTAGGTTTCTCAGGTGTTCTTAGGTTTCTTAGGTTTCTTAGGTTTTTTAGATTTCTTTGGTTTCTTAGGCTTTCTTAGATTTTCTCTTTCTTAAATTTCGTAGTTTTCTTAGCGGCTTGGACAAATGCAATCAACCGTTGCGAAGTGTGCATTTCGTAACAAACTTGCACCGCAAAACTTTGTGTACGGATGTAGATCCCGTAAACTGGTTATATGAATACTATACATCTCTTGCAGGTTTTCTGCCTCTCCTCTTTGTTCGCTATGATCTCAGCTCCCACTCATCCGATTTTCTCGCTTTAAAATGTTTTGGGAACCGCTCGATCTGGCGGGTGATCTACGACTAATCGTTGTTTGCTACATGCACAACCTCAAGCCCAGTGGTCACTCGAAAGCTTGTTACCATGGAGGCCATAGGGCTAACATGGGCTAGTCTGTTACCACGGTCACATTACACTGTACTGAGTGTACTTACTCAATTAGCTCAAACATAAAACAGCTTTGGCTGCGGCTCTGCGGTTCCTGTGTTCCATGGCCTGACTGAATGACACTTCGTTGGCTACAGTTGCTATTACAGTTTCGCAAGTTTAGCAGAATATACAGAAAAACAGCAGCCGAGCCACAAAACGACACAAACCCTTTCAACAAAGGTTAACAATCTAAGAACTGAACACTAGTAGATACTGGACTGATAGACTCCGTTTGCAAAAGTAATAACCGACAATGACAGCAAGCGTCCACAGGTTAGCTAATCACTAAGCCAAAAGACAGGAAAAGGAAAAATTCAGCTGATACAACCGCAAGTTGACCGCAGAGCATTCCCTGTCATTCGTTAAATCCGATAAACTGAACAAAATCTGCTTTCTTATACAAAAACCAACTGTTTTCAAACAAAAAAAATAACTGTTACTGCTTGCTCGAATACGCTGCAACGTATGAATTTCAAACTACTTTATTTGCCCAGTCGTAAGCCAATATTCATCCGTGCTCAGCTTGTTAACTACATCCGTAACAACCGTGACAGAGTAAGGTTAAAAAACCTATGTTTGGGAGAACGGGTAGGCCGATTTCAACGCGGTCAAGTGCGCCAGAACCGCTGCAACGACGCGGTGGATGTTACGCTATTACCGAGGCGATGCGCCCCTAGGGGCAAAAAGGGGACCGGAAAGGAAAGTTGTTACCATGAGCCTCCATCGACATACATGGACAAGTTGTTCCCATGTGCGTAAATGACACGACACGCCTCGACCAGCGGCCTCGATGCGAACAAAAACAAAATTTATTAATCACCAAAAGCCGACGCCGATAAATTGGTTACGGATGTAGTCCTCCGTAAACTGGTTATCTACATCCGTAACCACGTATACACGATTGATAATGTAGCCAATGTTTGGGCGAACGGCTGAACCGATTTCGACGCGGCCAAGTGCGTTAAATTCGTCTTAACGGCGCGAATGTTCTTACGCTATTGCGCCATCGATACGCCCCAAAAGGAAGGAGTAGCAACAAAAACAAATTGTTGCCATGGGCCCCATAGACATACATGGTAAATGCATTGTCTGTTCGCGGACCGTTCGGAAAAACGAGACAGACCGCGGCCTTCGGCATCGGCACGTTACAAAGTATCGAAAATTTAAGAAACATGTGCAAAGTTGATCGCAGTCAATCCCACCAGCGTGATCGGTATACCTTGTATTCTTTCCTATGTGATATTTCTTAGATATCTTAGGTTTCTTAGGTTTTCTTAGGTTTCTTAGATTTTCTTAGGTATTCTCAGGTTTCTTAGGTATTCTGAGGTTTCTCAGGTTTCTTAGGTTTCTTAGGTTTCTTGGGTTTCTTATGTAGTTTTCACAAGTAGGATAAGCCCAGTGGTCACTCAATGGCTTGTTGCCATGGATGCCATAGGGCTGACATACGCTTGTCTGTCACCACGGAAAATTAGGGTTTAACAAGAAACAGCTCTGTCCGCCTCTGCGTTTTTGTGGACCAAATACCGAGTGAACGAATGATTCAGTTAGTTTTAGAATAAATGCAAAATAGCAGCCGAGGCACAAACGAAAAAAATTTAATGGCGAAAGGTCAACATTTGAAGAACCGGGCATCAGATATCGGCCTGATCGACCTCAACTCATAAGAAAAAGTGCAGACTGCTAACGTACTCGTAATAATTATGTAATGCCAGTAAGCGTCCGCCTGTTGACTAGTCACCGAACTAAATGCAGGAACACGAAAAATTTGAGCTGATACAAACGCAAGTTGACCACAGATCATTCCCCGTCACCAGTTAAATCTAATAATGCGATCTGTTGTCTTATACTCGTACTAAAATTAACTCGTTTCAAACAAATTCATAACTGCTATTGAATGACTACTGCTTCCTCGAGGCACGAATACAGCCATAACTGCTAACTATGAAATCATAACTACTGTCTTCTCGAACACACTGCAACTTTTGAAATTTAAACTAGTCTATTTGCCCAGTCGTAAGCCAATATTCATCCGTGCTCATCTTGTTAACTACATCCGTAACAACCGTGACAGAGTAAGGTTAAAAAACCTATGTTTGGGAGAACGGGTAGGCCGATTTCAACGCGGTCAAGTGTTAAATTCGTCTCAACGGCGCGAATGTTCTTACGCTATTGCCACCGATACGCCCCAAGAGGGAAGGAGTAAAAAAACAAATTGCCCAAAAAAACAAATTGTTGCCATGGCCCGCGGTCAAGTGTTAAACCGTCTCAACGGCGCGAATGTTCTTACGCTTACGCCACCGATACGCCCCAAGAGGGAAGGAGTAGCCCAAAAAACAAATTGTTGCCATGGTATGATAGATTTGAACATTTAAAATGTAAACATGCAGTTTAAACAAAATATCATTTAATCCGAATTAAGCGTAACATTTATTGTAAAATCAAGCACGGAAGTATAAGAATACGTTAAGAAATAACCTAAAATGGTCTTTAAATCACGTCAATGGGTAAATTATTTGTACAATAAGTAGTTCATTCATTCTTCCGCGCAATTTGCGCGGGTCTGCTAGTTATCATAATATTATCATAATATTATACATGGCAAATGCGCCATCCTTGCTCTCGATTCAACGTGGAGCCGTACTGAACTCCGGTCCAGTGGCGGTATTGGCACTGGCTGGTCCGTAGAGACTATGGATAGCCATGATGGTCAGTGGACCGAGATGCATCTCCGGCAATGCCGACTTATGGCCACATGCGCTTCGTCATTCTCGTCAGCGTCGTCGTCGCCCAACTCCACAGGCAGATGCCATGCAGGATTGCTTGGCTCAGTTCTGCAAGTGCAGTACAGTCGTGCTTGTAAATTAGTAGTCTGCGATTTACGTGTAAGTTGAAAGTATGGACTCTGGAGGCGCAAGTCAATCGAACGCATTGAACTGCGGTTAATGAGAAAAATGCGCAACGCGATCCGCCACAGTGCAGAAAAACAAATTACCAACCAGTTAGAGGGTATGTGGCGTGCGGCAGTTACTGATTTTTGACTTCTGCTGCACTTCGATAAGCCTGTCATTCCGGAATCCCGACTTCTGTACTACAGTATTATATTCCGGCAGCCAGCTAGTTGAAAATGCAGCATGGGCAACCGCCCGCGTTGGCGACTGCACGATTATCATCTGCTCGCGATTTAACTGATTTTCGAATTTTTATTGGCCGGCGCAGCATCTCTACGTACAGATGCACGCTCCATTATCAACTATGCAGATGCTATGCAGATGCTATACTGCATTATACCCTGGACCACCCGCACTAGGCGTCGGCTTTATTGATGTCAGCGAACCTGCTCGCTGTTCATAGCGCGTGCAATACCCAGCAGGAATTTGACACTATCGCTGCCTTTTCAAACGCTCATCATGTTATCGGGCTGAGAGATCTGGAGAAGGCAGATTCTCGGCTTTTAAAGCAGCGTATTAGTATGGCAATTATTAACGGCAATGCAGCAGCAGTTTTAGGAACTTTACCGGGAAAGAATAAAACTGTTGATAGTAGTGATTCTGGTTGTCTTTTAATTAATTTGATTGTGCAATGCCGGTAGTAGTGATATGACTAATTATGAGTGAGAGTAATTATGAGTAATTATATTCAGATAGTTTTAAAATAAAACGAAAACTAGCAGCCGAGGCACAAACGAAAGAAACTTTAATGGCGAAAGGTCAACATTTGAAAAACCGGGCACCAGATATTGGCCTGATCGACCTCAACTCATAAAGAAAAAAATGCAAACTAACGTAATATTATATAATGCCGGCTTGATGCCCGCTTGATGACTAGTCACCAAACTGAATGCATAAACAGGTAAATCTCAACAGACACAAACGCAAGTTGACTGCAGAGGCGATCTATTGTCTTATACTGAAGGCGATCTATTGTCTTATATTCCTATAAAACTAACTCTTTTCAAACAAATTCCTAACTGCTAGTGAAGTACTGCTACCTCAAAATATACAGTCATAACTGCTAACTATGAAATCATAACTACTTCCTCCTTGAATACACTGCAACATCTGAATTTTAAACTAGTCTATTTGCCCAGTCGTAATCCAATATTCATCCGTGCTCAGCTTGTTATCTACATCCGTAACCACGTATACACGATTGATAATGTAACCAATGTTTTGGCGAACGGCTGAACCGATTTCGACGCGGCCAAGTGCGTTAAATTCGTCTCAACGGCGCGAATGTTCTTACGCTATTGCGCCACCGATACGCCCCAAGAGGGAAGGAGTAGCCCCAAAAAACAAATTGTTGCCATGGGCCCCCATAGACATACATGGTAAACGCATTGTCTGTTTGCGGACCGTTCGGAAAAACCGAGACAGACCGCGGCCTTCGGCATCGGCACGTTACAAGGGATTGAAAATTTAAGAAACATGTGCGAAAATTAATCGCAGTCAATCCCACCAGCGTGATCGGTATACCTCGTATTCTTTCATATACGATATTTTTTAGGTTTCTTAGGTTTCTTAGCTTTTCTTAGGTATTCTCAGGTTTCTTAGGTATTCTTAGGTGTTCTTAGGTTTCTCAGGTGTTCTTAGGTTTCTTAGGTTTCTTAGGTTTTTTAGATTTCTTTGGTTTCTTAGGCTTTCTTAGATTTTCTCTTTCTTAAATTTCGTAGTTTTCTTAGCGGCTTGGACAAATGCAATCAACCGTTGCGAAGTGTGCATTTCGTAACAAACTTGCACCGCAAAACTTTGTGTACGGATGTAGATCCCGTAAACTGGTTATATGAATACTATACATCTCTTGCAGGTTTTCTGCCTCTCCTCTTTGTTCGCTATGATCTCAGCTCCCACTCATCCGATTTTCTCGCTTTAAAATGTTTTGGGAACCGCTCGATCTGGCGGGTGATCTACGACTAATCGTTGTTTGCTACATGCACAACCTCAAGCCCAGTGGTCACTGAAAGCTTGTTACCATGGAGGCCATAGGGCTAACATGGGCTAGTCTGTTACCACGGTCACATTACACTGTACTGAGTGTACTTACTCAATTAGCTCAAACATAAAACAGCTTTGGCTGCGGCTCTGCGGTTCCTGTGTTCCATGGCCTGACTGAATGACACTTCGTTGGCTACAGTTGCTATTACAGTTTCGCAAGTTTAGCAGAATATACAGAAAAACAGCAGCCGAGCCACAAAACGACACAAACCCTTTCAACAAAGGTTAACAATCTAAGAACTGAACACTAGTAGATACTGGACTGATAGACTCCGTTTGCAAAAGTAATAACCGACAATGACAGCAAGCGTCCACAGGTTAGCTAATCACTAAGCCAAAAGACAGGAAAAGGAAAATTCAGCTGATACAACCGCAAGTTGACCGCAGAGCATTCCTGTCATTCGTTAAATCCGATAAACTGAACAAAATCTGCTTTCTTATACAAAACCAACTGTTTTCAAACAAAAAAATAACTGTTACTGCTTGCTCGAATACGCTGCAACGTATGAATTTCAAACTACTTTATTTGCCCAGTCGTAAGCCAATATTCATCCGTGCTCAGCTTGTTAACTACATCCGTAACAACCGTGACAGAGTAAGGTTAAAAAACCTATGTTTGGGAGAACGGGTAGGCCGATTTCAACGCGGTCAAGTGCGCCAGAACCGCTGCAACGACGCGGTGGATGTTGCTATTACCGAGGGCGATGCGCCCCTAGGGGCAAAAGGGGACCGGAAAGGAAAGTTGTTACCATGGGCCTCCATCGACATACATGGACAAGTTGTTCCCATGTGCGTAAATGACACGACACGCCTCGACCAGCGGCCTCGATGCGAACAAAAACAAAATTTATTAATCACCAAAAGCCGACGCCGATAAATTGGTTACGGATGTAGTCCTCCGTAAACTGGTTATCTACATCCGTAACCACGTATACACGATTGATAATGTAGCCAATGTTTGGGCGAACGGCTGAACCGATTTCGACGCGGCCAAGTGCGTTAAATTCGTCTTAACGGCGCGAATGTTCTTACGCTATTGCGCCATCGATACGCCCCAAAAGGGAAGGAGTAGCAACAAAAAACAAATTGTTGCCATGGGCCCCCATAGACATACATGGTAAATGCATTGTCTGTTCGCGGACCGTTCGGAAAAACCGAGACAGACCGCGGCCTTCGGCATCGGCACGTTACAAAGTATCGAAAATTTAAGAAACATGTGCAAAAGTTGATCGCAGTCAATCCCACCAGCGTGATCGGTATACCTTGTATTCTTTCCTATACGATATTTCTTAGATATCTTAGGTTTCTTAGGTTTTCTTAGGTTTCTTAGATTTTCTTAGGTATTCTCAGGTTTCTTAGGTATTCTGAGGTTTCTCAGGTTTCTTAGGTTTCTTAGGTTTCTTGGGTTTCTTATGTAGTTTTCACAAGTAGGATAAGCCCAGTGGTCACTCAATGGCTTGTTGCCATGGATGCCATAGGGCTGACATACGCTTGTCTGTCACCACGGGAAAATTAGGGTTTAACAAGAAACAGCTCTGGCTTCGCCTCTGCGTTTTTTGTGGACCAAATACCGAGTGAACGAATGATTCAGTTAGTTTTAGAATAAATGCAAAATAGCAGCCGAGGCACAAACGAAAAAAATTTAATGGCGAAAGGTCAACATTTGAAGAACTGGCATCAGATATCGGCCTGATCGACCTCAACTCATAAGAAAAAGTGCAGACTGCTAACGTACTCGTAATAATTATGTAATGCCAGTAAGCGTCCGCCTGTTGACTAGTCACCGAACTAAATGCAGGAACACGAAAAATTTGAGCTGATACAAACGCAAGTTGACCACAGATCATTCCCCGTCACCAGTTAAATCTAATAATGCGATCTGTTGTCTTATACTCGTACTAAAATTAACTCGTTTCAAACAAATTCATAACTGCTATTGAATGACTACTGCTTCCTCGAGGCTCGAATACAGCCATAACTGCTAACTATGAAATCATAACTACTGTCTTCTCGAACACACTGCAACTTTTGAAATTTAAACTAGTCTATTTGCCCAGTCGTAAGCCAATATTCATCCGTGCTCATCTTGTTAACTACATCCGTAACAACCGTGACAGAGTAAGGTTAAAAAACCTATGTTTGGGAGAACGGGTAGGCCGATTTCAACGCGGTCAAGTGCGCCAGAACCGCTGCAACGACGCGGTGGATGTTACGCTATTACCGAGACGATGCGCCTCGAGGGGAAAAAAGGGGACCGGAAAGGAAAGTTGTTACCATGGGCCTCCATAGACATACATGGACAAGTTGTTCCCATGTGCATAAATGACACGACACCCCTCGGCCAGCGGCCTCGATGCGAACAAAAACAAAATTAATTAATCACCAAAAGCCGACGCCGATAAATTGGTTACGGATGTAGTCCTTCGTAAACTGGTTATCTACATCCGTAACCACGTATACACGATTGATAATGTAGCCAATGTTTGGGCGAACGGCTGGACCGATTTCGACGCGGCCAAGTGCGTTAGATTCATCTCAACAGCGCAAAAGTTCTTACGCTATTGCGCCATCGATACGCCCCAAGGAGAAAGTCGGGGCCCCCAAAAACAAACTGTTGCCATGGGCCCCCATAGACTAACATAAGCTAATGCAGAACGACAGAGACAGACCGCGCTCTTCGCCATCGCTTCACTAATAATTCGTGGAAAACTGTGAAAAACGCTACAAAGTATTATAGGTTTTCTTAGATTTCTATGGATTTTTGGTTTTTTTAGGTTTCTTAGTTTTCTTAGACTAACAATTTATGAAAAATTGTAGAATCGCAACAAAATAAACATAAA